TTGGAATACAGACATTCATTGATGGACTACAAGATGCGGAAATGCAGCAAGCCCTTCGTCTACAACATCACAAGACGCCGAGGGAGAAACTGATTGCAGCCCACTAAAATGAAGCGGTAAAACTCCATTCCAGATCTTCTCGAACAAGAGTGAGAAAAATTAAATTCCAGGGAAGTAAAGAGGCCAATAATAATGCTATCCCATAGCCTACTCCCTCAAAAATCATAAAAATCCTGCAAAATATGCAACGAAACAACCAAAATAGAAGCAAACGATTCTTCAATTGTGGAAGAATCGGGCACCTTCAAAGAATCTGTAGAAGCAGGGCTCGTTCTATAAATCGAGAATCAGGGAATAAGGCCGTAAAGTCACAAAGATCAATCTTCCGAAGCTGGTCACGAAATCCAACAAGAAATAGTCACAGCGTCCCGAAGAAGCCAATCACCCACACCGAGCCGGCTTTCTAGCAATAACCAGGAAGTAGAGCATGGTCGAGGTCGTCTCCATAACAATGCAGACATTCTCTCCGGGCAACCATATATAGAACGGTACAGTAAAAGGTTCAAAGAACGAGAAGAACCGGTTGATAAAGTTACTCTTCGAGCAACCACTATCAAGCCAGAGGGCGACGATGAAAATATCACCCTTGAAAGCCTGAGAAAGGGACAGAAGAAAGACAATGATTTAAAGGTTGTTTGGGGATGGCTCAAAAAGAGAGTTCTACTTGGCAAATGCAGTGGAGCTATTAAAGGGTACCGGACTCAGTGGGATTCCCTGTATCTTCACGATAGCACCGGAAGTCAGAATTGTATTGGAGGAGCTTCTTTGCAGCCGTTCGGGAGAACATTTTAGTTCTAAGAGGACACTAGCACGAGTTCAGGAAATATTTTATTGGGTTGATTACCGACGGGATGTAGCTGATTGGTGTAAAAAATGTGATGTATGCAATGACAGGACAAAGGTTTACGGATTCGTTTGGGAACGACTGAAAGCCAACAGCGATAAAGCAAAAGTTAGAATCGACAGACATACCACAGAGACACATCTTGAGAAAGGCGAGCAGGTTTGGCTGTGCAATTCCAAGCACCAAGGAGGACTTTGTCAGAAATCGCAACGGAACTGGGAAGGCCTTTACGCCGTCTTTAAGGAAAATCAGCGACCTGATCTACCGCATACAGCTGTCAGTGGAAAGTAAATACAAGTTAGTTCACATTGGAAAGTTAGCGTGCAGCTCCTCCCCGTTAGTTCCAACCAGGTCCCAGTAATCAAGTTATATAGGGCGAATAACTAGAGAGGAGTGAGCAATGTTACGCCACACCCTGCAGTGTTTTGCAGTCGTCATAAGTAAAGGTATGAGTAAAAGAAGAAGGGGAATATTCGAGAAATGTTATTCAACGTCAAGAAAAATGTAGATAGTTCGAGAAGGTTCGAGAAGGTGAAAGTAAGCTATACAACTCGGTGATCTTGACGTCAGGCAGTTAGTTTTATGATAGACATACGTTAATGTTATCAGTTGTATAGTTATTGTAAAAGTTGAGTTAAAATAAATTCAGATATCAAAAACCAGTGCAACAATATAAAGGATATAAAATATAAAAAAAAGGTAAAGAAAGAATTTTATATAAAAAAATGTATTAAACGGAAACGAGACGCAGGAGGCAAGGCAGGAGTTAGAGGAGACCAGGGGCTCGATTCTCGAGATCATTGGAAAATTTTCCCATGAGAAAATATTCCACTACTTATATTCCCATGGTAATAGGTTATGCAATTCTCGAACGTGTCGGAATAGACATTCCCATGGAAATAGTAGTTTCACGTATGTCTGATATTAAGTTCACGAATATTTCGAAACAACCAATAACATTAAAGATATTTTAAAATTTACAGTTGGCAATATTTGTATTTGTTGTGGTTTTTGGGTATCCGATTACCTGCCGAGCCTCCGCGCTGGAGCAGGTGCCGTGCCGAGCAATCGCTATCATGATCGAGAATAAGTGAAAATATTCGATTACGTATAATAATTAAAACTTGTCGAGTTATTCTTAGTTTTTCTTTTCTCATGTTGAAAAAAGAAAAGGTAGCTTTTGTATGGAAGAGCAACGAAAGTTTTGAGAAACTAAGAAATTCTTTCATTAACGAAAATAATAACATTTTCGAAAAAGTCTTATTAAATTTACTACACTCAATTTGTGTTATTTGCCAGTCCCTTAGCAGCTCCCACAATTTCTAAATGATTTAGGAAAATCAGTTTATACAGTATCCAATAATCTTTGGTTATGTCTTAGACTTTCGCGTGATCTTTCGTCAAATTTTCGACTTTAATGCGCAAACTCTAGTACAATTCCCATTGGAAAACACAATTTCCAATGCTCGTAAGCAGGGGAATATTTTCCCATACTTCTCATTGGAAAATATTCCACCGCTTATGCCGAGAATACGAAAACTGAATTCCCATGGGAAAATTTTATTTTGACCCCCTGGTAGTATAACAGGAGATATAGACAAAGAAGCAGTTACGGCAGGAGTTTTAAAAGGAGTTACAGTAAGAGATAATAGACCAGGACTTATAGAAGGGACAGGATTAAAAGGCAGTTGGGCTGGGATAAAGAAGAGAAAGAAGAGAAGGGGAAGTTTCTTTTTAATATTTTCAATTTAAAATTCTCATTTAGGCATTAATTTAATTTTTAAATTTTATAGGAAGCCATTGAAGTCACAACCCTAAGTGCTCCTAGAATATTGTAATAGATCTACCTTTTACAGGTTGGAACCATTAGAATATATTGCTCACCCATATATATGGAGTATAGAATAAGGGTATATGCTTGAAAGGTATAGCTTGAAAACTACAGCATGAAACGCCATCATAAAAATCGATTGAGCTTATAGTCGTAGAGAAATTTTGAAAGATCTACTTTATTTCTTCCTAGTAAACCCTCGTTAAAATACGGACGGAGGAATATACCTTACTATAAAAGGAGTTTTAAAATTAATGAAATGTTTAATTATGGATGACTTAACTGTAAATCGGTGGAATTTGGCCACATAACTATTACATTTAATCTTTTAGAATACTTTAGCATTGATTCAAAAACCATATTTTAAGTGTACATAAAGTTTTGGGATGCTATTTAGAAAGGACGACTAAAAACTTTCTGAGGTAATAAATGGCTATTTTCCAAACATATCGCACTCCCGCAAGAACAGTGACACAAGTCAAAAACATTAAATTGTTTAGAAGAGTAAAAATAAAAACTTTAAAAATGATCATTAGATACAGATTGCAGTGTTAAATCAAAATTAACTCTTGGAACACACATGAACTTGTTTTTTGTGTTGTTTTCTGGATTTAAAATTACAATTTAGACTTCAGAGCATCCAGAACCCCTAAACTACCCTCTAATCTGACTTGTGTCGTTTTTCTTGTATTGCTACTTGATTTCTTTTAATATATGACAGTACTTAATACAGTAACTAAAGACTTGTTTTACTTTATTTAGCTTTATTATTTTATAACTAATACAACTACAAGTATCATCACAAATGAAAAATAATAATTTTGCTTGAAACACAGTATAAAATTTAAACAAGAATTCAACTTAAATAGTCAACAAGTTTAAAATGAGCTCAAGAAAACAGTGAATTAAAAATATCGATATAACTTTGCGAGATGTGATTTGAACGGATCAGTTCCAAACAGTCGTCACTCTTTCTTCCTTCCATCGCTATTTTTCTGGAGTAAACTTTCTTCAAAACAAAAGAAGATTAGGGTTTTTTCTTTCGAACTTCAATTTCTCCATATTCTAGGTCCTTGTATGATAGTTTAAAAAGAAATTATTCTGGTCTAGACTTCTCAAACCTTAGAACTTTGAAATCAGTAATTTTTATAGAGTTGCCAGTGGCATCTTTAGCGTAGTTATTACCTGTCATGTTACTCAAATGCTCAGAACATGCACAAAGCAGTGGATGTTTAAAAAATCTCAGGAGTGGTGAAAACACTCACCAGGACATAGGCAGGCCAAAAAGTTCTTAAAAAGACCATCGCCTAAACTCACCGGGACGGTGGTGTAGCGGTCTATCGCGCTTATATTTATTTATAGGCAAGTTTATGAGTCTGAGACTGCTGGGTTTCGAATCCCAGACCAGACCATGTGGATTTTTAATTAAATTGCATGGTTCGGTTTAGGATTTGATGTGTGGCGTATTAATAGAAATTCAATTTCTGTTGATATGACATGCAGATTAAAAAAATTCGCCATACATTACCGTCTCGATGATGGTGGGTGAGGTTTTCCGGGTTTTCCTCACCTGTAAGTCAAATGGCACCATCAATCATCTTTAAGTCGCCCCGGAGCGCCACGGCAAATAATAATAATAGCCGTCCCTTCCCCTACACAAGTCGTTCAGTCGACTTCAGGGGTTGAAATTCACTCGTAAGGGGGTGAATTAGGGAGAGTATGTATTATTATTATTATTATTATTATTATTATTATTATTATTATTATTATTATTATTATTATTATTATTATTATTATTATTATTATTATTATTATTATTATTATTATTATTATTATTATTATTATTATTATTATTATTATTATTATTATTATTATTATTATTATTATTATTATTATTATTATTATTATTATTATTATTATTATTATTATTATTATTATTATTATTATTATTATTATTATTATTATTATTATTATTATTATTATTATTATTATTATTATTATTATTATTATTATTATTATTATTATTAATTATTATTATTATTATTATTATTATTATTATTATTATTATTATTATTATTATCTACTAAGCCTTAATAGGAAAAATACTAGAGTACTAGTAGGTCTATTAACAGGGCATTGTAGACTTAACAAACATATGTTCAATATCGGTCTGACAGAAGATGCCTAGTGACGATTCTGTCAAGAAGAGGAGGAAACGGCAGAATACGTATTGTGCTACTGCGAAGGTGTAGCAAGACAGATTCCTTACACTTGGAGAAGAAAAACCAAGTGCAACTAGCTATACCGGAGAACTACTTCCCAGTCTATGGAGTCTACTGCAAAAGACCGAATTAGACAAGGTACTCTAAACAATGATTAAAGAATATTCACAATAGATCTAAAAAGGTCGAGATGGGGGAGGCCACATGGCCCATAGTCCTAATTAAATCTAAATCTAATCTAATCAAATGCTTTAAGTCGAAGACATCATTTCGTTCACCTGATATGGATTTCCTCGTTTCTTGGCTGTTCGTATTATTGTGACATATTGTTGCGGAATGACAATTGGACCACTCTTAAGCGATTTTTTTATCTCCTTCTCATTTACACAATGGGCGGCATCACCTTCATTTTGAGTATGGTCGCAGATCAAAAATTTGTGTTTTATAGCTTTTATTTTCAGTGTTTTAACAGCGTGCAAGGATATTGCAATGATATACCGATTCTGGTTCTGCCCGCAATAATTGTCAGAGTAGAAGGTGAATTCCAAATTATCATTATTCATTTCGGAAGCTTTTTTCTCCAAATACTTCAATATATAAGAGCCTATCTCATTAGCGCCACGATGTCCTTCGCCCTCGTGCAAAAAAAAACATTCTACAGCATCTTATCAACTTCGCAAATTGTAAAACTGTAAGAGTTTATTTTCGATTTGTAGTAGAATATTGACAAATTTCCTTTAGGACACGGCATGACCGCTTGGAGGTCAAATGTTGCCAAGACAAAAACTATCACCAACACATTTTTTATCCCGTTCTTTAGATTTACGACTCAATTTTTTTTCTTCTTGATGTTTCTCGTACTTTTCCTTTGTACTTGGTACATCTGGTGCGATGTTATAAGATTCGCACAAATTGCATAAATCTTTTTTGGGAGAAAAAAAAATTAAATATTAAACTCCTTATTAAAAATACATGAGTACATCATAAGATTTGCAGCTGGTTGGTTTTTTGGCCTGTTCTTTTACATAGTTTATGTAAGTCAACTAAACTTTTACCACCATTTATTTACTCTGTGAAAGTATTGGCATGAAGGTAATGGCTTTCCATACGCGATATGGAGTTGATGTGGTTTCTAACTGATTATTTTATGACAGGTTCCACTGTGAAAAGATTAGTGTGTTTTCCTCTCTTCTCTGATTCAAGAAATCCATTTTTATTTTTTTGCAGAACTTTTCTTATTGGTCTGTCATTGATTCCTAACCTTTTTTTTTAAATAGTTTGCAAACTCTCTCTTTTTTCGACTCTATCTGGAAGTAGAACGCGTTATTCAATTTCCTGTGATTTTCTGTGCGATAATTGGGCTGTACACTTTCAATGTTCCCAGCAATAAAAGACCGTTGCAGTTCTAAATTGCCAAGTGACCAGTACTTGTTAAATTTTTTTTCCTTTGATCTTCTGAAATCTTGGTTGGGCATGAAAGTTTGCAATTGTCTGTACATGGTGCTAGAATTTACCTGACTGAATATTTTTGATGATTTAGAAACGTATTGGTATTCGTTTCCCATATTTCTGATGATGACCCATCACTTAAGGTTGACTCGGCAAAAGAAAAGTAAGGATCGGCTATTGAATCATTGCTCAGGTTTAATTCAACACCGCTTTTATCTGATACGGATTCTGCATTCTTTCTCATGAGCAGAAACTTCAGGTACTGCACCATTTTTTACTTTTCTTCGGGCTAATTTTGTTTCTGTGTTCTCATTAATTTCCATAGTATACTGTTGTGAATTATCTGGTAGAGATGAGGATTTAGCAGATTCACTATTTTCGGCTTCAAAATAATTGGGTATTTGAACATCAAAATTTTCATTACTATCCAGCATACTAACAACAGGCGTTTCTAAGGCATCGGTGTTATTTTCATCCGCCAAGCACAAGCGTAAAATTCTTGAAGTCCGAGAAGACGAATCCATTGTCATTTTCTATTACTGCCACATAAAACATTTAAACAAACTATATTTATGTACAATTGATATATAAAATGTATTTTATTGTACAGTTTTACGACCATAAAGTAGCTCTTTATAGAAGTAGTGTAGTACTATAAAGTACATTTTGTAGTACTAGTACTATTAAATGGTTGATAATCTTAAAATTATATAAATGTTTTAAAATAATTATTATTCTTAACATTATTTGTATTTTTATAATAATTATAAATAAAAAGCAATTGTACAAAAAATATTGAATGTAACTTATACATAATAATACCTTACATTATCTACTATTTTGTATTTACAGCCTAAATAATTATTAGTTTGTTATGAGCACTCCTGTCAGAATTGCAATTTAAATTTGTCATAACAGGAAAAGTGACATATTGCAAAATAAATAGATAATAACTTACTTGGAACAAGAAAAGTGTCCTTAACCAAAATATGTTTATTTGTCACTTTCAATTTACACAGGATACAACAAGAAAAATGTCACAAACCAAAATATGTCTATTTTTACATTCAATTTAAACAGGATATAACACGAAAAACGTTACAACTCAAGATATGTCGGTTTTCGTAAGCAGAGGAACAAACTCATTCCTCGGCGGTCGAGACACAACTGAAATGTGTCGCTGTTCTTGATTCAAAAAAGGCAATTGGCGGTAAAGCACAAAACGATATTAACGACCTCTCTCGAGAATTATATAAAATTAACTTGTCACTCGAGACTTACCTGGAACCAGCATCTAGAAAGAATCACAAGGAGAGCGGAAACCTCATTAATGATGGCAAGGCGATCCTTTGGAAAAAAATGGGGGTTAAAACCAGACATGGTATACTGGCTTTATAACATGGTGGTGAGGCCCATAATAACATACGCAGCTTTGGTGTGGTGGCCAAAGACACAGCAAAGGAAAGCAATAACGAGGCTAAGCAAGGTACAAAGACTTGCCTGCCTCGGAATAACGGGGGCAATGAAAACAACCCCCCCTGCTGCAATGGAAGCACTAATAGGACTCCCACCTCTTCACTATGTGATACAAGGGGAGGCAAGATTAGGTGCTTACAGATTAGGGAATACACTGGGAAATCTTGACATTAGGCCAGGTCACATGAGTATCTCAAGGTTAGTGACAGGAGACGTGCTAGACATGAGATCAGACCACATAACCAAGAGGTACTCTTTTAATACTCCCTTTGAGGTTTTAATACAGGAAAGAGCGGAGATCACCATAAGGGAGCCCAATGCCCAACGACAGGAACAAACCTGGTATACAGACGGGTCTAAGACTGCGGAAGGCACTGGGGCAGGAGTATTCTCCAAAAACCCTGATACTAACCATAGCTATGCTATAGGAATACATTCCTCGGTATTTCAGGCCGAGGTATACGCAATTTTGCAATGTGCAAAAACGAACAATGAAAGAGCTGTCGAAAATCAGCATATTCAAATAATGTCAGACAGCCAAGCGGCACTTAAGGCCATATCGAGTCAGAAAGTTACGTCGAGGCTGGTATGGGAATGCATCGAAGAACTAAGAACACTGGCAGACCGAAATAGAGTAAAACTATTTTGGGTGCCAGGTCACAAAGGGATCGAAGGCAACGAAAAGGCTGACGAACTTGCAAAAAGAGGGTCAGAAGAAACACCGGAACCAGACACAAACCCAGGAGTACCAAAAAGTACAGTCCGGGGTTTTATAAATGACTGGATTCGGGAACAACATATCAACTATTGGGGAAGCACCCCAAAACAGGCACATGGAAAAGCCTTCATAGGCAGACCATGTCCCAAAAGAACTGGAGAACTACTCTTAATGAATAGGAACCAGTTGAAAGTGATAACAGGGTTCATGACTGGGCACGCCCCAGTAAAGGGACACTTGAACAAAATTGGCATGTACAATGGGGAACTCATGTGCCGACTATGTCACAAGAAACCAGAAATGGCCAAACAGATACTGTGCGAATGCGAAGCTCTAGATCGCAAAAGACAGGCTCTTTTTGGACAACCCCAGGTTGATCCAACAACGTATAGAACCCACTCACCCAAGGATCTGTACAAACTTGTACAAGGTACAAAGGTGATAGAGTGGGTGCTATGAACTAACATGGGGTAAAACACAATAAGCCAATAGGCTTCAGTGTTATTCGGAGACACATAGTCAGACGAGCCCAGGAAAAAAAAAACTTGTCACAGTTTTCCTGATTAAAGATTAATGTAATTGGAATATAATGGGCGCATAAAATAAAATTTGAAGAATTTTGAGTTGTGTCACTTTTTTTGCGGGGGTACAATATAAAAAGTCACATTGTCCTATAATGTCCCAATATAATTAGCCGTTGAGATAAATTAAGTCCACAAAATGGAGTAGGTGCCACAGTATATAATTAGCATTTTACACGACGTGATGCCTCTACATATTATGCTGCTAATAAATTAGGAGTTACCTGACAGAAATATACATCAGATAGTCAAAAAAAAACCAATAGGTAGGTAATATTTAAAAATTTCTATAAAATACTTTTTATGAATGTTATAATTCATTATCAACATAATTTTGCCTTTGCAATTCCGATTTTATAATGGTCGTTGTATGTATCTATTTTGAGTTATAGGTTACTTTGTACTTTAATTCGTGGGAATTATTTTTATTGCAATAAAATAATACTAGTAGGGTAGTAGGATACTTAGCATGTACCAAAACAGTTTGAATAATGGTTCAATCATTGGGTATAGAATACAAATATTCTCGGTATTTGTATTTCATCTTTTCTTTTAACATCTACCTATGATCATTGAGAACAAGGCGTGGAATATAATTAAAAGATCAAGCAAACTTACCAGAAGTGAAGTTCGATCTCAATTATATGAAACGCCTTGTTCGAGATGGTCGAATGCTCCCACACACCTATACCCAAGATCATCTCTACAAGATTCAAACACAATTAAAAGAATAACGTAAGAGTGTATCTGAGTACGACGGAACGGAAGCAGAGGTGGGAAGGACTGGCACGACCAGTTGTTCTTTTGGAACTATTAAAAACTTTTGAGAGTATTTAGACTTTAAAATACGTTGCCACAGATCGGGGAAAAGAGGGTACTACCTATGATCATTTCGAACAAGGCGTTTTATATAATTGAGATCTAACTTCACTTCAGGTAAGTTCGTTTGATCTTTCAATTCTCTAATGAAAGAAACCAGAATTTGATAAAGGTACATTTTTTGAAGCGCAAATATTGTTCTTTTTGCTTAAAAATACAAGTTATTCTATAATTTTCAATAAATAGTAATCAGTATTAGCACACTCTATGATATATTAAACAGTGCTTAATATTTTTTATTTGCCAGAATTTTTGTACAATAAGACCAGTAGCGTAGCGTAAGCCAAAGAACGGAGGGGACGAAGCTTTTTTGGGGCACCCAAACATCGGTGGGGGGGGGGGGGGGCGTCGCGTTGTCTATTCCAATCCCCCTTTCCCGGCCCCTAATACGCTACGCCACTGACTAAGACTATTTATGGGAACAAAAAGTAAGTCTGATTGAACTTTTCTATTATATCAACGATAATTTGTTCAAAAACAATTTTGGCAAGACTAATATATTCAAGATTTAATATAAAGATTAAGTTACGAAAACTAGAAATAATTTTATATATGAATATTCGAGAAATTATATATTTTTCTAATGAATATCAGATTAAGAACTAACTATGCTTACAGGGTGAAATAATAAATATAATTGTTTAAAGTATTAGCATAATATTTTCCTATTTTTATTTACTGACTTGGGTATATATATTTCAAAAGCAACATTTTTCTATATAACCTAATATCGTAGTATGTATAAATATAAAAAACAATTATAAATATATCAAGTGTGTACTTATGTGTTCAATGTGCATTTTAGTTTTTATCTGTGTAAAAGTATACAATATTTATGCTCCAAACTTTTTACTTAATCATACACATGTCAAGTTGTCAACATGTTTCTGATTGGTATGAAAGTTTGTTAAACAGGGGTAGATAGAGTACACAACTGCTTGCCTACTTTCCATATTGCCTTACTGCTTAGACATTAAAAAAATTAATCTATCTAATCAGAATAAATAAAAAAACAATATATGATATCTATAAATATAGGTTAATTGATTTAACAAATTTGAATTAAAAGCCATCCATATTTTGGATAATTCCTTCAAAGTGCTCTAGTAGTCACCAAACAGTCAGAGTAATGCTTATTTTACATTATAGGGCACAAACGTTATTTTTAACAACATGTGTTAATGGCTGTCAATTGTCAACTGTCAATAACTGACACTTTCAAATTTGCCGATAACAAAATTATTAGTGGCTGTGTCCACCGTCGTCAAACGTCGTGACGTCACCGAATGAAAAAGTGAGTTGACAGAAAATATTTTACTTGG